CCGGTACCGGTTACCTGCCCACCGTCATCAAACCGCCCAACCAGAGTCTACATGCCAATGGTACTGGCGGCGACGCCTATCGGGAGACCAGTCCCGATGATGCCAGCGATAAGACCAGTTACTCCGAGTGACCTGACGAAAATTACGCCGTTGCCTGGTCGTACTCTTCGATAATCCCCTAATGAACCGTTTAGTTTGCACGCAAAGTCAAATTGTCCTTGAGGCAGCCCTCGATGTGTGTCTGATTAGCTGAATTAACTTCTGAGAACTATGTTATTCGCATAATTTCATTTCGACGTACGCAGATTAATAGTCTTTTAATAATGATAACAAAAATACCCCAAGTATCTTCTTTTTCATGTTTTTTTCCCCATTTCAGTTCATAATAAATTAATCTTTATTTCTCCAGACATGGCCGTCTTAAATTTAATTTGTATACCGGTTATTCTTATGCCAATAGAAATATAATTTGGATGATTAACAATTAATATGACGTGAAAAAGTTTTCTCTTTTGAAAAGGAAACTATCACTCTAAGAATAACTGATAAAAATGTCGTCCTTAGAAGAGATTCTGTCAAAGAATCGAATCTATTCGTTATCGACATATGCGGGCAATACGTCAAGACCCAATAATGTCGCGACGAGAAGCTCTGTTCCACTAGACAATAAAAGAATAAAAATTGTTGTCTCCAAAGGAAGATAGATACCAAGAGCGTTTCGAGAATGCTAAAATATTGAAGATTGAGAATATCTGATAATCGGAAAGTATTTGATTTTAATATTTATACGATACCCCTTGTACAATACATTTCGTGCGAAAGCTGGGACAAACGCTTAATCGGATGTCTGCGTTAATCATCCGCCGACTCTAAATCGCTGCGTGACGCAATTAATGCGCCGTAGAAAAGTACGAAAAGAGAAAAACGTCAGAAGATAAGTATACACGGCTGATTCGTCTATACTTTATACATGTGTAGATAAAGACTATATAGACCAGGTATGTGTGTAGGTAACAAGTACAAGGACGAGTATCAGCCAAATAAAGAGGAAGGTGAATCTGTAAATATAACGTTATATAGCTAATGACTAATTAATCTCGACATTTTTGCCGGAATATATTGAACGTGTTATACGCGCGTACATATGTAATATATATATATATATATATATATATACACATATATACACACACACATGTATGTATGTGTGTATGTTGCCTGTAAGTATAACGCCTGCAAGATACTTAGATTGGCCGCTAGCGACCAGAAACTATCGTCTACCGTAGTTACCAAATAATATGTTACTCGAAGAAAAGTGTATAGACCGCAAATATATAATACAATAAATAAGATATTGATACTCTATACATATGTCAATTCACTTGATAACTTCCTCTGTTAAATTAATTGTTAATAAAAATAATTTTTTATTTCGTAATTTAGCAAATAAATGATTAAATCCACATACCGAAAGATCTTTTACTTATAAAAGATGCTAGTGAATATATTTTTATTTCTCTTAACATTAATACTTAATTTGTTGAATTTTTCAGCAATCTTATATTTCTTGCGTAATGCGATGAATAATTAATAAATACTTGATTATTTTCGATTGATTTAAACTAATTAATTCTTAATAACATATTTCTTTACGAGTTTCATACTCGCACTATGATCAAGATGTCGTGATTTTCCGCAAGTCTACCTGCAACGGTAAGCCTTATTATATAATTATACATTTATGTACATGTAAACGTAATTTGTTGTGACAAAGAAACGAGAGACACGCTTCCTTCTGCAGATACGCTTGAGATAAAGAACGAAAGACTGTTTTCCGGCTGAATGAAAATTTTACTGCCCCCTTGGACAAACCAAAGGTAAAGGTATCGAATGACGAACAGTATTCGCGGGCGAAGAAATGGGATACGCGACGCGCTGTTTTGTATTCTTGAAATCGTTTCATGGTCGATCAATCTCAAATCACGCTGCCCTTTTTCAATAAATTGATTTTGATCAATGCGAATATTCAATTCTGCCGCTCAATTTACGCAGGTACAGAATTGTAGAGAGTAAATTATACAATTTTTCCCACGCTTTGTATATACGCTCACCGCTCACGTCTCCTTCGTAAAAGTCTCGACTTTGTACATCGCGGAATTTTCGGATGACTTGATATTTTAATCTTAAATTATGCGCGTTACGTAGTTATGTTTACATATATATATATATATATATAAAATAGACGAGGTGATTTGTTTCGATTCGAAATGAAATAAATTCGATTGTAAAATACGTATAAACAGCAGGCACCTTATTATATATATATATATATATATATATAATAATTAATATACCTCTTTGAATGATGTTTTTGAATGGCGATAGAGGAGAATGGCGATCCTTGTGTCCAAGTATATAGATACTTGGACAATTACATCGCGTGGGGTAGTGCGGGGTAGTGCGGGGTAGTGTACCGAGCCGACAGACTTAGGTACACGGTATCGATGGAATACCGATAATCGACTGGCCTCTACAAGGCGCATATCCGATAGGTCGATGCCTGAACACGCGCCCGACGTTATATACCCGGCAATTTGTGCCCGTGTGCGCGGTGCATACGGGTATTATAATGCTCCGGTTATTATTTACGATACGATACGATACGATACGAGGCATGGCCGCCTGGTTTTCCAGGGGAGGCAATATATCGACACCCCGCAGAGTTTCTTCCTTTGGCTACTGGTTACCATCCATAATGGCGTATAATAGCACCCTCCTCCCTTCTCACCCTCTTTACCTTTGCTTTATACCTACCTACCTCCGCCGCGACCGAGTTTAATCCGCAGTCTGAGAGTGCAACAATCCCCTTTATTCTTCGTGTCTCGCGTCCGCACCGAGGAATTTTAAGCCACCGAGGGGGGGGGGGGAAAGGGGTTGTTGGAACTGGAAACCGATCCGATTGTTGCGAAAAGGGGGAGCATTGGATGTGATATAGAAGTAAAGTAATTTAAGATTCTTTAGAGAGCGGAAGATGATGGAGGTGTCGAAATTGTTCGTGTCAATGTCGATCGGCTTTAAGTTATTTAATTTTTCTCTATTTCGAATTTCTCCGATTCTCGAAGAAAATTTTCGAAGCCTCTGGATGAGGTCAGATTAAATAATAATTAATCACGATTACTTTAATGTTAATTCTGTTTCTATAATGTTACTGTTATTGTAGAAAAAGTAAGAGTAAGTTTTCTTCATTTATGTGCAGATATTATGATCAACTTTATTGTAACTTTAATCTTTACACACTATCGATAGATAGGTATACAAAGTTTTAATTTTGGTGTGTAGTGTAGTATAATAATAAACGCGGAAAAATCTATTTCTCAAATATTACAGAGAAATGTAATGCCTTCCGTGTTTATAATTTAAGAACGCTTACATCAGATAATTAACAATGTCTGGTCAATTTTCAATCACACGATTATGACATTGAGATGCCGTACTTACCTACATCCAAAAGTATAATTTTAAATTTAACAGGGAGTCGTGTTAAGAAACGACTCGAAATACTACGACGACGTTACATAATTCCAATGAGAATTTTTACTTCAACGACTACTTTTTCTTTCCCCCCTTTTTTTGTCTTTTTTTATTGGTCGATGAATATAGCTAACCGAATAACGAATCGTATGGCTTTTAACATTTTTTCAACTTGCATCAATATTTGCTCTCTCGGTCGCTATTTCTCTCCGTTTTCTTTTTATATTCGTATAGGACCCGAGAGAGAGAGAGAGAGAGAGAAAAGTTTTTACCTTATGTGGGTGCACACGCGCACCCATCCCACATGTCTTGTGGCTACACGTTGGCCCGCTTAAATATACATACGTACGAGTGCATGGAAGCCAATCGAAGAGAGATCTTTTGGGCCGCGCGCGGAAGAGAGAATAAAGTGTTGCCGAACGTCGGCAAACATGGCGCCGTGTTTGCTCGCCCCAAGAAACGTTCGGCGTAGGTACCACCAATCTATGTGTGCATACGTGTGATTTAATGTAAACGTAGGATGACACATATATACCGGTAACGGAAATAGAATGTCTGTTTGTCGGTTAATACTCTAATTACTTGGTAACTCTAAGAAAATATGTAGGTATGTCGGTTACTTGTATTCTTTGCGACTCGCAATCGGAACAATTATAGGTATACACTATTGTTAGCTTTATCTAACTTGAGCATTCATTACATTTTTATTTTGTTTTCGCCTTTATTGCGCGATAATGACAATGTCTATCTCGTTTCTCAACTGTTTGTTATTCGGCGTACGAGAGAATCTGCAGTCGGGAGAATAGAGAGAACTGCACGAAGTAATAGAGTCTGGGGGGGATCGCGCCGCCCCCGGTAGAAATCAAGGCCCCCTTGCGTCCTCTGAGGGACGTCGCGAAACAATTCCGAACTGAATAATATTAGTATCTAACAATAGACGTGCTAAATTGAAATACAGAGAGCACCACGCTGCTTCGCGAGCTCGCGCCACCCCCGCATTCTCGGCGCTGTTATAAACGTTCGTTCTATGTGCTACGTGGATGTATCGTACATGTACGTGCACCTAGGTAGAGGACGTAGAGCAGCTGTATTCTCTTCGCGTCCGAGTGTTAGTTTTCCGTGGCGATGCGACGCGGCGCGGCGCGGCAAGGATCACGGCAAGGATGCGATGCGACGCGACGCTGCGACACCAAGCTGCACAAAGCGAGAAATAGCATGCAAATGAAATATTAATTAAATCTAGGAAAATTCGTCCTCTCTCTCTCTCTTTCTTCCTGGATGGCAACCTGACCGTTCCTCGACATGGAAAATGATCCTTTCCATTTACTTACCATACACTATCCGGTCTCCTATCCCCTAGAAAATTTATCTACGTCTTATTTTCGCAATTAATCTCCTAATTTAACTTGAATTTGAACGTAATTTACCATACATTTACAAATCTGTACGGTGGATTAGAGTGAAACAATTTTCAGTTTTTACTCAATCATTCTACCTATGTATCGTATATATTATTACATTTCCAAGTATTTGATTGTTTCCCAACTTTCTTCCTCATATTTCTCCATTTTGTTCCATGTATTATAATTGTCACTGTTTC